CCATTTTTACCCTCCTGGAGGCTCAAGAAAAGCCTCCAGAGCACGGGGAGGACAAAAACGCCCCCCCCCCCCATCATGGTGCAGGAGGCTGACTAGGTAAATCTGATTTCAAGAGTATTTTGTGGGTATAGGATGAACATGATAGATAATATATTTATTGTTGGCTACAGCTTGGATTAAGTTGGCTTGAGTCCAAGTGACTGTACTGACATGTCCATGTCGGTTTCTTGGCAATCATAGAGTGGCAGTTTGTCATTTGTTCTCAGCAAGTGAATGTCTTTAAGTTTTAGAAACTTGCAACAGTTTTTTCCTCATTTTTCTCTTAGTAAAGGTTCACCAATGTATAGACTATATATTGTCTTATATAGATCGCTGCATGCATTGTGGGGAAAGAGACAAAAATGAAAGCTTGATAAGTTTTCTTGAATCTTATTGTGGCTCTCTACATTTCCAATATTGGATCACAAATACAGTACTAGCAATGTCTCTTCTCATTTATAAGGTCTGATATTTCCCCCCCATAGATCTAGGTTAACCATAATTTATTCAGTTGACCAAAGAATCAAGAGTGACTTTTAGAGACTATAATGTGTCCATGATGTTTTTAAGCAAGAGAATTCTAGTGGCTTTTTACATTTAGCTATTTTTTGTTTCAAATTCAAATTCCTACATTATTCAATATATAGATGACAATAGTAGACACATAAAGTTATGGGCATACTTGGAGAGCATCTCTTAGATATTGGAACACTGCTATTAAGTTACACCTAGTTTTTCTTTTAATTAAACTAGGTAAATTAAAGGTTCCCCTTGCACATATGTGCTAGTCGTTTCTGGCTCTAATGGGTGGTGCTCATCTCTGTTACAAAGCCGAAGAGCCAGCTCTGTCCAAAGACATCTCGATGGTCATGTGGCTGGCATGACTAAACGCCGAAGGTGCATGGAGCACTGCTAGCTTCCCACCAAAGTGATCCCTATTTTTCTACTTGCATTTTTACATGCTTCCGAATTGCTAGGTTGGCAAAAGCTGCGGCGCTAGGGATTTGAACCGCCAAACTGTCTACCTTTCTGATTGACAAGCTCAGCGTCTTAGCCACTGTGCCACTGTGTCCCTCTTAATTAAACTAGACGTATCCAAATTCCTGCAACTGTTATTAATATGTTTTAGCCTCCATTTGAGTATTAGCCATACACAAATATATATACAGCTAGTAAGAATAAAGATGCTTCCCTGAATTATTTATCTCCGTGTAATCCAATGGAGGAAAACATTTCCCAAGGCGTGAACCTGGAAATCCTTCCCATCACCTGCAAAATGTTCCTCTTAATGGGAGGTACTGAAAATTAAATATGGACTCAACAAAGCTATGACCTCCTGGGGATTTCCCTGGATAGTGTTTCTCAACCTTGGCAATTCTTAAGGTGTGGTGAGTTCAACTCAACTCAAGCTAGCAGGGAATTCTGGGCAATGAAGTCTACACATCTTAGACAGTGGTGGGATTCAATTTTTTTTAACTATCGGCTCTATAGGCATGGCTTGGTGGGCGTGGCAGGGGAAGGATACTGCAGAATCCCATTCCCTCCCCACCCCATTAACCTGCTTTCCAGCTCCGTTCTCCTGTGCAGGACAACAAAAGAAGACCCAGCCAATCAGCAGGGACTCGGGAGGCAGAGAATAGATGGGGGCAGGGCCAGTCAGAGGTGGTATTTGCCGGTTCTCCGAACTACTCAAAATTTCTGCTACCAGTTCTCCAGAACTGGTCAGAACTGTTTTAGAGCTGCTGACATTGAGAAATACTGCTCTGGGGTACGGTTGGAAAAAAAGGTCAAGATGGAAGCCACAAAGGTGTGTTTGAAATTCTGTCTCTTTTTATGTGGGTCTTCTTTGATCACACCTTGCAGACCTCCCACATAACCTGTCAGCATCTCCATTGAATTATGATCTCTCCTTACACCTTGGTTTGCTGTCTTTTGGAATAAATATCCACTATTGTCATCAACACACAGCCTTCCATATTGGCACCCAAATTATTTTCCTGTTAAGAGTGAAAGGATCAGCTTGGAAAAGAATTGGAAGGGAGTAAAATAATATAGCATATAGTAAAGAGAAAAGTGAAGAATATTGAAGACATCCTTCCCTTCGCAGGACACCAGATAGGAATTTCTTTTTCTTGTTATTATTAAGTCAAGTCACAGAAATGTCTTGTTTTGTTATAATTGTAATGAAACCATGGTTTAAATCAAGTGAACACGCCTGGAATAAGCATGAAATACCATGCTCCTCAGGAAGTTCATTGCAATCGTTCTCTCATTTGGGGAAAACCAATTTCCTTTTATTTCCCCACAGGAGCATCAAACCATGGTTTATGATTCTGGTGTGTAGGGGAAGCATAAACTATATTTTTTGAAATATATCCTTATGATACAAGTAGAATATTAACAGTTAAGCTGTAAAAAGCACCTTCTTTTCCAATTAACTTCTGGAACACATTTGTTCAATATTCACCCATAAGTAATCCATTGCATTTAGTTCTCTTTGAAGAAGATACAATATACTATATGTTTTGGGGAAAAACCTCTTGCTGAATAATTTTGACTATGTTTTTAAAAACTGTAGTCCCAGTAGGCACTTGGAAATCTAAACAAAATGAAACAAAATTATATTTGCAGATGAACAATTCTGCCCTACTCCCCAATTGGCAACAATCGTCTTAGCCTCGTGACACATTACTAGCATAAAAGATGGATACCCAAGACGTTCATTTCTTTCTAACAGAGATGGGTGGAATTCATCAGCGGTGATTGCATGCATTTTTTTTCTTTTCTTGATTTACATATTTTACAACCATGCAAAATTTGATTTGTGATTCATTTTCTTCTTTTCTTTTAAACAAGCCAATCTCAAAACAAAGCACCGGTTCTTCCTTATTAAATACATGGAGAGGAAGCATGCAGAGAGCTGTGTTGTGCAAAGCAGACAATTCCTCTGCGTGTGCTAATTCAAGCCTGTATACTCTTAAAGATAAAGGGTGAGAAAGCATAAACACAGCTGGCAAAAATTGTGGGGTGATATTTCTGCTTATAACATTTTTTTAAAAGTGGGGGGACTTTGTGTCAATACCACAGCATTCCTCTCTGCATCTTGTTCAGTAGGTTTCAACGGGTTGCAAAGGGATGAGAGAAGCTCACAGTACATGTCAAGGCTGTCAGGAAAGTAAATTATATCTATTGCCTATTTTCTTCCCCAATTTGATTTCCTGACAGGAGTTTCCAGGGCAACTGTAGGCTTCAGTTTCAAGCTTTCCCAGTGAAACTTGAGAATGCAATTTCAAAGATGTTGGAGAATGGGAGGGGAATTTTACAGGTCAGCATGCTTATACCTGCTCTGTTGGATCTTCAAGCTTGTTTCCTATCTTTCTTAAGCTGTTATCTACTCAGCAACAGGATGAGCCAAATTGTACATACAATCAAGGCAGCTGCTTAAGCAGTGTCCTTTTTAGATAAAGCACAATCTTCACTGTATAGCTTGGGATATTTCACAATGCTACAAGGATATTGGGGCAAAACCTTTGCATAAACTCTAAAGCATACTTGAGCATTTTACAGCCCTCAGGCCACATCCATTTGGCTATCCCAGTCTTGCCTCGGTGCATTTCTTTCATTCTGAAGGCAACTGCTATTTTTTTTCCAATGTACATATGTAGATTCATGCAGTACCTTCACAGGCTTGTTGGCTTGTCCCTCTGTAACACTCCCAGTTTCTGATGTGTCAATTTAGAAAAATTTATTGCCCACCCCTGCTCCAAAGGAAGAATTCTTTAACCCTGGAGACTCATCAGAGTGGAGAGTACAACAGTGTTTTCAATCTTGCCAACTTTAAAATGAGTGGACTTCAACTCCCAGAATTCCCCGTGCTGGCTAAGAAATTCTGCGAGTTGACATCCACACTCCTAAGAATTGCCAAGGCTGAAAAACATTGGGATAGAAGGAATGAGATCTGAAACAACCTCACTTATGTCAGATCTCGGTGGCTAGATATATCATATACAGTATATAATATCCATATATTATTTGAAATTCTGTTTTTTTACTCATTATAAGTGCCATGTCTAAATGAAACCTATGCCGTACCATAGAAAAGGCATCAATAAGGAGAGTGGTGCCTGCATGTGTTTTTTTTGTGTGTGTGTGTGAGAAAAAAAATGAAAACAAACAAGATGTGAATGGGGTTTATTTACCTCATAACGTTGTGCCTGCCATCTTGCCTACCTTGAAAGACCACTCCATACCCCCAACTGGGAAATGCTGCTGAGGAAACTCATTCACTTTAAAGTTATTTTTGCTCAGTTCTAAGCTTGATGAATAATTATTTCATTCAAAATAACATTTTAGAACCTGAATGAGATAGTTGTGATTGGATGGATAAAGCCTTAGGAACAGAGTGTTGGGAAGTTTCAAAATCAAAGCATTGTATGAATCAGTACATGGACACTGTGGAAGCAAGATTGCAGACATGTGAAAAATATGAGAGAAAATAAATGGCAGTGTAAACTAGCTTTCATTATATTTCTCTCTTTTTTTCTTTTTTTTAATCTCACAACTTAATTTCTTCGACTCACTATTTCTTACTCTTTTCTGTGCTTTACCTAATTTTTTTTACCCTAAAATAAATTAAGCCCAAGCTGAGTATATATTTGGTTACTGGATTTTATCCTTGGTCTTTATCTTGTAAGAATTTTAGGAAGAATGCAGCAAAAATGCATAAAACAAACAAATGACATGTTAGTAGAAAATTAAGGTTGAAAGGAATGTATCTAACAGCAAGAGGCTATCATTCTACCTCTTTAATGCACTGCATTAGTTTGACTTAACAGTTTAGGTAGTGATTTGCATGGCAACAATACAGCGAGCAGCTCAATGGCACAACAATGTCTACCTCATGTCCTGAACATGGCAAAAGAGAGGTGCATCTTCTTGCCTTAAACTGATTTCATACATACCCAGTAGAGTACATCTGTCCAGCCCTCCATGGTGATGCACTGAAACACAGTTAACATGGCAAAGGCAAAGTTGTCAAAGTTGGTGATGCCATGTTTGGGTCCCTCCCATATGGCCCTACACTCAGAGCCATTCTGACACTGCCGTCCATGTTGAGATACTGGCGCACAGGGAGCAGGTTCTTCTTCTGCAGGTGTATCTTAAACAATGGAAAGAGAGAGAGAGAGAGAGAGAGAGAGAACAATCAAACAATTAAAATAGTGCAATGAAGTGGTAAAGGAAAGAGTTCTTGGGCTGCAATTGGAAACAAGGGATTTAAGTCACCAATTGTGTTGCGCTGTGTCTCAAAACACAAGACATATTCAAAATCAAGCGTTATCACTTATGCAAAAGAAAAGCAATTCTGGATTTGTAAATAGGCAAGTTGAGGGTTGTTGGTTTTTTTAGTGTAAAAGCGCTCTTTAAAATTTTTGATATGATTTTAAAAAGAAATCATCTTTTTTGCTTGATGGGGAATGCTGATGAAGACTACACAAAGCTGTCTAGGTACTCTTGGTAAAAATTGCCAATTTAGAAACAGGAACTGGAAATTCTTTTGTTAAATGTAATTTTAATTTTTATTGATTTATTTGTTGAAAAGACTATTTGTTTTTAGTAAATTATTTGCTCCGGGGATGATCCCTAAATTTTTCTTCCGGCTATTGGGGATGAAATAATACTTTATAATGGGCATTTTGTTACACGCTTTTTGGTTTTACTATGACAATATTTTCTCTAGGTAAAGGACTTCAAAATTATACAATGTAACCCTATGGCCTTTCCTATTATTACTATAGATCCTATCCTATCATTAAAAGCTAGATGTAGTTACTTCAGCTGCACTCTTCTCCTTTTCTACTTCTCTTCCTCCTTCCTCTCCTTCTCCATCCTAAAATTCTCTGGATATTGGTGTTTTACAGACAAACAGCAATCTGCTGATGGTGCCTGTTTTGATGTTGCACTCTGAAGCCACATTCATGAAATTCTCTGCTTCGGTTTGGGTTGCTTCATGTCTCACACAGCCATTATGACTGCCAACAAAGCCAGCTTGGTTTTTACTCCACCAACTAGATCATTTGGGAAAAGGAAAAGGTCAGTGTGGAAGGAAATAGAGATATATGCCTGTGTGTGAGGAAGGGAGCTGTTTAAAAAAAGAAGACTCAGTTCATTTATTTTGTATTTTTGTAATGTGTGCATGCACACACATAAAAACACACATCCCTCAGTTGCAATCCTTTCACAAAATACACAGAAGTCGAAGTTAAAATTAAACAAGGCAGGTACATTTATGTCTCCAAATACAGAGTCAACCAAATTACAAACGTCTCTTCTAGACTACATAGGTTATATGTAGTCTAGAAGAAATGTTTGGTGACTGAAGCTGTCTGCAGGGTATAATAAAAAAAAGCCAAGATGGCAGCTTTGATGGTAGGATTGAGAGTCCATCATTTTTAAAGTGCTTTGCACATGCAGTGCACATTAAAAAGAGGGAGAGCTTTGATCCCATCATCACAGCTATCAACTTGACTTTTTTTAAATCATTCCCTGTGGACATCTTGGGTTATTCACAGTCTTATCATCACTCACTTATATTACCACAATAAATTGCATGTGGGGCTGCCTTGGAAGAGTACTTGGTCCAAAATGCAGCCCCTGTCTTATTGCTGAATGAGAGTTGCATAACAACAGTATTGGGTAAGCTGCTGATTACTAATAGGTTTCCTGATGCAAAATACTGTTTTTAACCTATAAAGTCCTATGTGATTACTAATAGGTTTCTTGATGCAATGCAAAATACTGTTTGTATAAAGTCCTATGTGGCTTGGATCCAGGGGCTGGCAGAACTGCCTTTTCCACATAGAACAAATCTTCTGATCCACCAATGTATGCCCCCCACCCCGGTTTCAGAAAGTCAGGAGGGCAAAGTCCTACAGACAATGTTTTGGACAATATTCTTTTCTGCTTAAAGATCAGATTAATGACTTCTTCATAACAGAATGATTATGGAGGGTGTTGGGATACTGAAGAATAACCATCACCATTTGTATTATTATTTCTTGATAATTATTATGGTGTTTTTCTGCTGCATTTTATGTTAGAATTATTTTATTGGTTTAAAGTGTTTTCATATGTCTCTATTTTATGGATATAAGCCATCAGGAATCTGTCAAAGTCCTCCAGGGCATAAATATAACAAGTAAACAATTAATGCTAACATTATAAACAGTAACCCACCATAATAGTAGAATATGACAGTTGTTGTCTTCAATATTGCCAATCTGAATCCAAACCAGTAAGCTAATGACAAAGCCAAAGTCCCTGTGATGAATTTCAGACCTTAATTGCCAATGGCAATGACCCACCTCATGGAAAATACTATAGAAATGTGATTGGCAAATAAATAAATAAATAAATAGGTTTTCCATGAAAAAGCTAATCAATTAATTTTTGCAAATTTCCAAACTGATGTAGCAGGTGATGTGGGGGGGGGGGGGAGCTTGTAAATGTGTATAGAAGTAATCCAAATTCATCTGGAGACCTTCAATTTATTAAAAATACACCTGATTTGCCAATTCAGAAATCAAGTTTCAGTCAAATTCCAAACATCTACTAAAAACTTATTTAAAGAATCTTTATCAAAAGGATAGTCCGACTTCTGTTTAAAAGATGGTAAATATTTGCTAGTAGTTTCTGTAGCTTGGATATTGCCACAGAATATCCCTTCTTTCTAGGAAATTTCTCCTTGAATTCAAAGAGGTCAAACCAGATTAAGTAAAGTTGTTAGTTGACTATCATGTTTGCATGGCATTGTTACACATTACTTCCATCTTCCACATAGGTTAAAGGCTATGCCAAAATGGAGCTCAGTTCAGTACGTTACTTACCTGTGGCAATCCCTGTTAAGTAGCATGTTTTGTGCATCTTTCCCATGAAGAGCTCCAACCCAATGATGGCATAGATAATTATGACAAACAGCACCAGAAGGGCAATGTGCAGCAATGGGACCATGGCCTTGATAATGGAATTTAACACCACCTGAAGGCCTACAATGACAAAGATAGCATGATAAGAACAAACCAGTATAGTTAATGGATGTAATACATGGCGGTCAAACCTTTGTAGAACAGTAGCCTGAGGTGGAAGGTGGAATTTAAAAAGTTGTAAGTCTAGAGTCATTGTGGTACTACAAGAGACTCAAGTCCATTCCCCTGTGAATACCATTGACTTTTATCTAACACCAATTTAGCTTTGACCATTGGTTGAACAGATTCTTGTACAGGTATCAATAATAAACTCTTCTATGCTTATTCGCACCTGACAAACTTCATCTGTGAATTTAAAATCGGACTTGATATCTCCTAGACATTTTGTTATCTATTCTATTTACAAAAGGGTGCATGCATGGTTTCAGCAGTAGAATCTAGTCTACAAATTAAATGAATTGTCTAACATTTATCTCATTCTTTATTTTACTACCTAAAATATTTTTTTAAACTGAAATAAGGACAAAAATATTACAAAGGGTCCTGGTTTATAGATGGACCAGGTAAAAATTTAGTTTATAAGCCACACTGTCTTACACACTGTCTTGCCTTCTGTTTTTAGAAATTATGATGATTGGTTATTACTGTCTACTGCCTATATCTTTTATCCTGTACCAAAATTGAGAGAGCAAATCTGATACACAATATACTGTATTTCTATAAATTCAGATTAATTGATTCAAAAATTAACTGAATAAGGATACCACATCAGTTGTTACTTAGACACTTCTGAAGTATAACAGCAGAGATGCAGGTTTTGGTGGTTTTAGAAAATTAGCTCTAAATTATTCTTTGGGGAACAAAGTAAATGTGCTCTTGTTTGCAATATTTAGACATTCACAGATAAAAAAAGTTATTGTAATAAACCTTATCATTAGTATAGGAATACATAGAATCTAACAGTCACAGAAATGACCAACAATTATATGCCTTTCTTCCTGCCTGAATGGGTTTACTCACTTTTTCCTTGGATTATATTTTAAAATTTATTAATAACTGAGCCATGGATCTCATACTCTAAGCATTATTAATAGCAATAACAATAAGCATATACAGTATTATTCAAAATATTGCCATATTCCATTTCAAGCTGATTACTGTAATCTGGCCTGCTGTTAAATTAAAAAAAAAATGAAATGAGATTGAGATATGCTACATTCCTCACAGAATCAGCTTGTTTTGACATCAGCTCTCCTTTGTAATGGCACCAATATTATTAAAGGTACAAGCTAACAGTAGGTATTTAAACTCAATGCTGGCATGGTAAAACTAGGACTGATGTAGTGCTGGCATACTGTCAAAGGCACTTTCTTTCTATCTAACACATAGATCTCAATGGCCCATTTGAAACAATCCATTTTCTTGACTTCCTTATTTCCTATCCAACCTTCTCATTTATAATTCACTTTACATTGTATTTAATTTGTATATATAACTCAAGCTGGCAAACATACCCAATACTCCTCCCTCCTCCTGTTTATCCATAACAACAAGCCTGTGAGATGGGTTAATTAGACAAAAAGAGAGTGATTGGCTCAAGGCCACCCAACTAACTTTCATGCCTATGGTGTGTATGTATGTGTGTGTCTGTGTAGAATCAAATTCATAGTCCCACATAGTTTCTAACTTGGTGCTTTAACCACTAGACTATACTGGCTTAATTCTTACACAGATATCTGTCGGACATCTAAAGTCTTTGAAAACTGCTGAAATATTTAAGCAGGGTCATAATTTCATAATAGTTTAATGAAAATAAGGATTGGGGTGACATGATAGTAGTGTTCCAATATCACAGGGGCTGCCACAAAGAAAAAGGGGTCAATCTATTCTCCAAAGCACCTGAGGGCAGGAGAAGAAGCAATGGGTGGAAACTAATCAAGGAGAGAACCAACCTAAAACTAAGAAGAAAGTTTGTCAGGGCAATTAATCAGTGGATTTAGTAGTAGATTTCACTCACTATTCAGGGTTGACAGCTCTACTGAAGGAAACAATCAGTGTTTTGGAACAGCCAAGACAAGGACCACTGAAACAGCTCCTTTTAACAACTTACTCTAAATACACAAAGCAGCAGGTAGAAAAGTCATAGTTCATAGCTAGCAACTTCCTATAATGTGCAGAGTCAGGAGGCAAATAGTCCTTAGAATACAACGGGATGTATATATGGAGTCAACAGGTTATAAAGATGAAGGACTATACTTCCAATCGTAACTTCGGGATTGGGTAGGTGAAGAGGTGGTCCCCTGATTTTTCTATAGCACAGCAATAGAAATGTCTCATGTACTTCATACTCTACATTCCAGCATAACTTTCCACATTGCTGCAGTTCCAAATGATATTCTCAGAGGTTGCACACTGATGAACACACCCTACAAGTCCAAACCCTAATAGAACTGCTTCTGGCTTCACATACTTCTGAAAGTCTTCTTCCTTAGATACCACATCAAGAATTAATCATGACATGATTGTGGCCAATTGGCAAGGTTTGTGTGACCCTTTTGTGTGCTCAGAAATATCAATAATTGAAGTATCAGATACCTAATGTTTCTTTAAAGGTGATATAGCATCCAGAAACCTATTATTATTCTTCCCCTTCTATCCATCAGGAACAAGACTCTACCTCCATATACCATTGAACCCTTCAGTGTGTCACTTATAAAGTTATTTACAGCATATAAAAGGATATCAAAATTCAGATAGTGATCTTGCAAGCATAAAATTGCATCAAGGGACCAGTATATTATGTCAATATTTATTTTTGACAAAAGACAGTAAGTAAGATTTATTATTGACATGTTTTGGCAAAATATGGAAATATATCTTTCTAAGAGACTATTGAAATGATGGGTCTAACATCAAACACAGTGCTGTCAGTTGCTACCGTAGACTGCTTCCTTTCACACAAATTTGTAGAATGATGTGCTGGCTTACCTTCTAAAAAAATAGAGGATAGTATTTGATAGTCAGACAAACCTTACAGCATACCCACAAAATATGAATTTTAAAAAAGATTATGCAATACAAAAGGCAAAATAAATGTATTGCTTGCTATAATGAAAAGAAAAAGGGACGAATGGTTCACTTTTTTTCTTACACTCACCTATTTTCCTGCCCCTTTCATATAATATTATCTCACCTAGTGCTCATTAATCAATCAGTCCTTTTTCCTAGCATCTAATTTAGAGTGTAATCCACCCAAAGATTACTGTAGTATCTTTAAAACCCTTTGATTTCAATAATAGATATGTAGTGGAATTCTTTGGAAGGTTTTCCTTGGATGACCAGTTAATCTCAGTGTAGAAGACTACAATCTTACATGCTGTATAAACTTAAGACCGCGATCCTAATTACATTTATCAGCCATAATGAAATACTGAGGCTTGTACCTGAGTAAATATACCCAGTACTTTGCTGTAACTGCTTATTAACCTATTTTTAAATAACCACTGGTATCACTTCTAATAAATGCTTGGATTGTGTAATGGGGGAACAATCACATTTCTAAATTATCACTAAACAATACAAAATATGAAGTGTGAATGCCCTCTTGAATTTTTGAACTGAATGCAGCAGCATATTTCTAGCACAGATTTCAAATGAATCTCAATTCCATATGTCACAACACACTCCAGGCCACTGCTTTCCAACAGGAACAACCTCCAATTGTGCAGAGTTGAACTTCAAGAATGGCTATGCTTGCCGAGGACAAGTCTAAACATTTGGAAATTCCCTGGCTAGGAAACATAGTTCTCTATTTTGACAGTATGAGCTTAGATTACCTTTGTGACTACATTTTCATACACAAATCCAACTTTGGCAACTCTAAATTGAGTTCTTCCATACAGAATTGAGTATTTCCTCCTAAATGAGAACACCTACCCACACAAAGAGCCCTCTGTGCTCCCAGTTTAATGTTTCTATAAATATTAAAAACACAAAGAATACATGGATTTTTTCCCTTTCAGAATATGATAAAAAAGGCAGAGGTTTAGAAACTAGAATTGTAGAATATTTGGGGCAATAAATCCAATATAGGCATATTCCATTCTTCACAGATTTTAATTGCAGTTTCTCCCATTCATGCATCTACAACTTGAATTTGTTTAGGTTTATTTGCTAGAAACATATCATTGCCTTTCAGAAGACAATTCAACTGCCAGTTTGTGCTTTAATGCCATATTTAATGCCCACTACATGTGATCAAACAGAATTGCTGATAACCTTCTTGAATGACCAGCCATTTGGATCCCAAAGAGCTGAAAAGCAGCATTTTAGAAATGCTCTTTTGGTGAACAAGCAAGATGTTCTGTTTTCTTAATCATCTTCTGACATAAACTCTACTTATTGTTTCCCAATAAACAATTGTTTAACTGGTAAAGGCTGGCAGCCATTCCTGTTTTCTGTGTACATTCTGAGTAGTTTTATGTCTACTTTGTGACAGAAAGTGTTAATATGTACATTTTATTTCCACTATAATTATAACTTTTTGCCTATTATCCATGGAATCACAAGATGAAAAGATATTTCCACATAAGAAATCTGGTGCCAAATTGCTCCAAATCACTCATACTTTGTAAAAGTCTACCTGGAACAATTCCCGCACAGTTTTATGCTCACAATCAAAGCTAATGAATCTTAAGAAAACAAGCTGGGCTCTGCTATTCAGCAAGAGGATAATGCAATAAAATCTAGTATACCTCTGAACGAGTTTTATCTATCCTTAGTTAAGCACCAAAACCTGGTTCAATGACCTTGGCCAGCAAACTCGCCTGACCTGAACCCCATAGAGCAGGGGTCCCCAACCACCGGTCCCTGGACCAGTACCAGTCCGTGGATCATTTTTTACCGGGCTGCAAAGCTTGGGCACCGCCATCTTGTTTCGACGTCGCTTCCGGGTTTTCGGTCGCTTCCGGGTTTTCAGTTGGAAAGTTCTTCCGGGTTTCCAGTTGGAAAGCGGCATTTGGGTGCTCGCGCCTTAGTTTTGTCGAAGAGGGTGGGGGGCGGCTTCGAACGAAGAGCTGTCCTGATGGCGGTGGAGTCTCGCGTTACTCAGGTACCAGTCCGTGGAAGAATAAATAATCGTGAAACCGGTCCCTGGCTCAAAATGGTTGGGGGCCACTGCCATAGAGAGTCTATGGGGCATTGCCAAGAGAAAGATGAGAGATATGAGACCGAACAATGCAGAAGAGCTGAAGGCTGCTATTGAAGTACCCTGGTCTTCCATACCACCTCAGCAGTGCCACAGGCACTGCTGCAATTGAGGCAGTAATTGATGCAAAAGGGACCCAAACCAAGTACTGAGTATGCTTATACTTTTCAGAGGTCCGATATTGTTCTATGTACAATCCTTGTTTTATTGATTGCATGTAATATTCTAATTTTCTGAGATTGTGGATTTGGGGTTTTCATGAGTTGTAAGCCATAATCATCTCAATGATGACAAATCATGGCTTGACCTATCTTGCTTTGCATGTAATGAGTCTATCTCATATATTAGTTTCACCTTTTAAGACGCATTACTGAAATAAATGAACTTTTGCACGATATTCTAATTTTTCAAGTTTCACCTGTAGGTGAATTACTGGTCCTGAGAGCCTGCAGTTACAGATGTAGAAATAAGGAAGGAAAAGGATGGAAAATGTTTTGAGTGGCCTTTAACCAAAGACAACATAATCTTCCAAAACCAGTCCGGTAATTGCTTAATACTTGCTCCTAGTCCTGAACTATAGACAGCAATTCCTCTAGACAAACATCTTGAGTAATGGAAAAATGGGTGATCTCCAGGGGTGGTCCTTAGGATTTAATTGGAGTAGTAGTCAACTGTATAATTTTAGGAGTTGAGGGGACATCAGAAGTGATCCAAAAGTAATAAAAGCACTAAGGTTTCAGAGGATGCATGGCTGTCACTGAAGGCAATGGAGCTTGTGGCAAGCAGCTATTATTCTTTATCTCTTGAAGGATTTCATCCTCTAACATCAAGCTCCATTTTTTATACACGTCCATTTTCCTAGCATCATCAATGGGGTGTTTAGACTTACATTTTCTGGTAATTGAATCTGATGATTCAGGTGTTAACAGAACTTGAAATGTAGGGTTCACTCAGGACTCAGAGGCCTATCCATAGCTTCTAAGGTTGCTGTAATATCTGCCCTCTCTATAATACATGACAAGGTATCATCACATATCTGCTGACGGTGTGCATGTATAAAGAGTGAGTTTTGCAGCATCATCCTGGTGGCCACATAGTACTTGTGAGAGGAAAATCCAGTGAAGTAACATTGAGAATGTTATACCTCATTCTTGTAATTAAACAACCAAACTCAGAGAGCGCCAAGGACTTCATAAGTTACTCCTAAGCTACAAATATTCTCTTCTGCTGAGGAGAAAAGTAGCAGGTGGTGTCATATGCAACAGAGAAGAATGATACCATCATACTAAAGAGCAGGAATCATGTTAGTTTGGGAATTCTGGGAGCTGAAGTTTGAAGACTCTTGTTAAAGAGGATGAAAGAGTATTTTGAAAATGTTTGTACCACATTGGTGGTTATGTAACCATCTAGAACCAAATATGGAAAATCCCCAGAAATTGAAGGCTGACAGTCTTGCTAGAGTTGAGCTGAAGCTGATTCTTCTTCATCCAAGCTCCCAGAGCCCCAACAGCATTCAAATATCAAGACAGAATCTCCACAGCATCTTTTGGGTGGCCATAAATGGAGATACAAAAGCCTGGTATCATTAGCATTCTGTCAGATGAGCTCAGTTAGCAACTTCATGTAGATGTTCAACAGGATGGGCAGTTCTAGCTTATGTTGTACCATCCCTACCTACATTTTCTTACAGTATAATCAGGTGTGAGAGATTAGAAATGCAGTACAACAAATAATGATTTTAGCTAAGTAATCAATACAATACATAAAAATAAAATAAAACACCAGACAGGAAATAATGCTCCTATCACCACACTGTATTAAAAATGATCAATCAAATGTCCAGACTTTTGAGAAAGAACAGTCTAATAATCCACTAAAGAACAGGCATGCATTGCATGGTGAGACTTCTTCATCAGGGCAGCCATTTGTGAGACTATTAATAAGCATCAACTTCAGAGCCAGCATCTCAACTTGTCGCACTGATTTAATTTACAGTAGATTCATTATAATGATTTCATATTCATTTTGTATGACTTTAAACTGATATATTATTTCATATCCTGAAGAAATATCTCAGTCTCACATGACCCACATAGCACCCCACTCTTACAATAATCCATTTCTCTTACCTGACATTTTGACCTTATTCTTTTTAATTATTTGATGAGAATGATAACTTCCACTATGAGCAACAATTGCTTAGCCCTGAAATTAATTTTTACATTATGAATGGAATGCTTCTCTAAATTATTTCTTTTGGGGTCTTTTTCACAGTATCAGCTTTTGCTGTCAAGATGGATCTTGACAGACTAGAACACTGGGCCGTATCTAACAAAATGAAATTTAATGTAGAAAAAAGTAAAGTCCTACACTTAGGCAAGAAAAACCAAAAGTACACATATAGATCAGGTGAAACCAGGCTTAATAGCAGTAACTGTGAGAGGGATCTTGGAGTCTTAGTGGACAACCAGCTAAATATGAGCCAGCATTGTGCAGCAGCAGCCAAAAAAGCTAATGCAATCTTAAGTTGCATTAACAGAGGGATACACTCTAGGTGTGGTCCTATTAAGGCTTTATATTAGAGGTACTAATACCACTCTATAAAGCCTTAATAGGACCACACCTAGAGTACTGCATCCAGTTTTTTTCACCACACTATAAAAAAGATGTTGAGACTCTAGAAAAAGCACAGAGAAGAGCAACCAGGATGATTAGTGGACTGGAGACTAAAGCGTATGAAGAATGGTTGCAGGAACTGGGCATGGCTAGTCTAATGAAGAGAAGGACCAGGGGAGACATAATAGCAGTCTTCCAATATTTGAAGGGCTGCCACAGAGAGGAAGGGGTCAAGCTGTTTTCTAAAGCGCTTGTAGGCCAGACAAGGAATAATGGATGGAAACTGAACAAGGAGAGATTTAACCTGGAAATAAGGAGAAACTTTCTGACAGTGAGAACAATCAACCAATGGAACAGCTTGCCCTCGGAAGTTGTGGGAGCGCCATCACTTGAGACTTTCAAGAAGAGATTGGACTGCCATCTGTCAGAAATGGTATAGGATCTTCCGCTTGGACGGGGGGTTGGACTAGATGACTTATACGGTCCCTTCCAACTCTGATTATCTGATCATCTAACCCTAAAATGAACAACAACAACAACAACAACATGACTTGGTTACTTACTAGGAACTCCAGATACCAGCCGTAAAGGGCGCAGTACGCGGAAAGCTCTAAGTGCTTTAACATCAAATCCGGCACCTTTACCTCCCAGTGAATTTACCCCATCTGCTTTGGTTGCTTGTTCTAAAATTGCACTAAAAAGCCTGTGGAAGGGAAAGGAATGAATAACAAAACAAAACAAAATAAAATGGTTAGTGTACAGTATGGAGAAAGAAGCAATCAAGGTACTTTATATAATGCAGAAAATCCTGGTTAAGGAGATCAAACAGAACAAGCATCCATATTCCTTTATGATATATACAATGATGATATAGACAAAATGTACATGTGCCATTAGAAATATATTAGTTGACAGCCATGACATAAATTCCCAGACATACTTTGCAGTTTCTAAAAAGGTTTACAAGAATCAATGTCAGATTTAACAGAATTGATCTAATAGCAATAGCACTTAGACTTATATATCACTTCATAGTGCTTTAGAGCACTCTTTAAGTAGTTTACAGAATCAGCATGTTGCCCCCAACAATCTGGGTCCTCATTTTATCGACCTCAGAAAGATGAAGGCCTGAGAAGGAGACCTTACAAATACATTAAACAATGTACATACTGCACACTGCACACACATGGCTGCAATCTGTACCCTTTCTATATTGTAAAGCAAAGGTCTTCAAACTTGGCAAGTTTAAGACTTGTGGACTTCAACTCCCAGAATTCCCGAGCTAATATGACTGGAGGAGGAATTCTGGGAGTTGAAGTCCACAAGTCTTAAAGCTGTCAAGTTTGAAGACTTCTGTTGTAAGGCAATGTTTCTCAACTTTGGCAATTTTAAAATACTCTATATGAGCTTCAACTCCCAGGGGCCAACCTCACATTGGCAGGAATGATGTTCCACAGGGTGGTGTGGAATATGAATACTCCAAATATGCTTATCTTTAATGATGATGTATGGGATTCTGATGCTGCATACTAAATGCACCTCTGCATCTGAAATACTTCAAATACTACGCATCCATATGATATCTATCTTTTAAAACATAGAATCTCTTACAAAAGGCAATGGTAGGCAGGAAGAAGTACTATTTTATCTATGTATTTATCATAGTAATATAATATAAATTTTCAAATATCTCTGTGGAATTTTGTTGAAATAAAACAACAGCAACTGTTTCCTAAAGATTGAAAGATAGATACTCACCCTACTACCACAATTATAAAATCTAGTAAATTCCAGCCATTCCGGAGGTAAGCATTAGGATGAAAGAGAAGTCCATATGCTATTACTTTTAAAAATGCTTCCACTGTAAAAATTATGAGAAAGAGATATTCCACTCGTTCCTGCAGTGAAAAGAAAAAGAAAACATGGAACATGGTGGTTAACTTTGGAGAATTACAGGAAATATTACATCATAGGAGAAAGAGAGGACTACATTTCCAAGTCAATACAATTCTCTTCTTGACAGGACTGTCATTTCTTGCTATTCTTGCTAAATGCAAGTCAAATAATTTAGACATAACTGTATACTCTGTAGGATTTTGGCTATTTAGAACATGGCAATACTTCCCAATCCAATGCCTTCCACAAATATTTGACTTTCATTACTATAATCAATGGATCCAGTTACAATGAAACAACATTAAAGTCAAAATACAGTTATTTTAATTTGGTTAATTTTCAAATTTAAATTTGCACAGTGAAACAAAAGCATCATATGTACATCATGGTCAAAATTCATGAAAGAAGAGAGAAATAATTTAGAAGTACATTGATAATCATCACTGTCATCCATCCAGTTGGAGGGGTGTGGTCTCTAGAGCCTGTGAAAGTTCTCGGTTGGAGAATGTGATCTATGACACACCAGTCATGAAAATGCTCTGGTTGGAGAATGTGATTTATGACACACCCAGGTGGGAGGGGGGAAACAGGACATAAGTGCACCATGTTATCTTACCTCACACACACACACACATATATTCAGAGAGTGGTACATATTCTCTAATGTTTCTTCTACAATGTGCTTTCACGTTGGGTGCAAAATGACTTCCAGGTGAAATCAGGTTAATGGACCAAAATGCTACAAACTCCTTTATCAGTCAGGAAATGCAAAAAAATAATAATAATCTCCCAACCTCCAGGACAGGGGTGTCAAACTTGCATCATCATGGCAGCATCATGTAAGAGTGGGAAGGTACCTGCCCCGGTCCCCAAGAAGGGAAACCAGCGGGGAATGGCGCCTGTGATATTTAGGTGCGAACTTGAAGCCAGCCGTTGAAAATGGCGGGAAGGCAGAATCTCCAGTGTTAATTGCCTGAGCAGTTTAACGAGCCGCTGCTGCTGACTCTCTAAATTGTCAGATAAATGATCCCGTCAGTCGAAATGGCAAGGAGAAGTGAGCCGCGGCTGCAAGCACTCCGCCAAGATCGCAGAGATAAGACGATCAGGGGATTAGATGATCTAATTGCCTGAAGCGGCCGTCTCAGGCTGCCTGCGGAGTGGCAGGCTCTGCCAGCCACAAAGAACTGCTCTCAAACTGATTGGGGGGATGACCTAATAGAGCCACAAGCCTTGAAATCGCCAAATTAATTGGGGAAAAATTTACAAGCAGAATTAACCCAAGAGCAAACCTGAATTTTGACTAGCTGAATCAGAAAACCGTTCCAGTCAGGGAGTGCACAACCTCTTACCACAAAGGCTGAGCTAAAACAGGGGGGACGCTGGGGAGATGTCCCGTGGAGGAGGAGGAGCGTCCCGGAGTTTTAAGCCCAGCCTTTCCAGAAGAGACTGAAGCACCTCCCACTTCTGGATGCTCTGAACAGCTCATGGGAGAAAAAAATCCACTTTCACATCAATAGGCATTTAAGCTGAAAATAAAATGTCAAAGGGATAATAAAGATTTCTGGATGCTTAAAAGCTTTTAAAAGCAGGAAAGGAGAGAAAAAGAATAAAAGGGCAGGATCTGGAAAAATGGAGGAGACTGCCTGGAACTAAAAGGAATTTACAGTGAAACTTCAACAAGATTCCTAAAAGATACATTTTAACTGAAACTTGGCAACAAAATGATAGAACCCGAGGAAGAGAAAGTAGAAAAAAGAAGCAAGAAGAAACTGCTTTGGATTATTTGGATTACTTGGTGATCTTTGGATTTTTGGTTATTGCATTTAAATGACTAAAGTCAATCGGGTGGCTGTTTAAAAGTGTTTAAAGTGGCACCACTTTTAGAAGAACTGTAAATGGAACTTAAAAAGTACAAAGAAGATGCACAAGAAGAGAGAGATTCTTTTGGCTTCGTATTTCAATTCTTAGAAATGGAGATCTGGAACTATGAGAAACAACAAGAAATGCTTGCAGAACAAGAAGATTGGGACAAAGAAGAAGCCATCTTTAATGATCAAGTAATTTTATGTGGTGGAGGGGAAGGAAAGGGGGAAAGAGGATGAAAAGTTTAAGATTTGAAAAAAACAACCAAAAAAAGAAGAATAGTTTGAAAAATAAGTATAATATTGGAAAGCAACAGAAGAGGGGATTACAGAAGAGAGAATTAGAAGTAGAGAGACAAGGGGGTAAAAAGGGGAGGGAGAAGAGGAGGGGGAAGAAGGAAAGGAAAAGAAGTTATAAAGGACAGAAGCACGATATAGAGAAACAGGGAAAGGTATAAGAATTTAAAGTATAAGCCTGTTTAGAGCTAATGGGTGAAAATTTAGTTGTAAAAGGGATTCTGCAAAGGTACATAAGATAGTATTGTTATATTACAAATAGAAATAATTTTAGAAAATATGATTAAAATGGATAAAATATTTATCATAATCTAGTGGAATGTTTGTTAATAAATAAATGAAATAAAGTGAATGAGAGAATTAAATTAGGAAAGGATGGGAACATTTTAATTATTATTAATGATTTATAAAATATAAGTGAAGAGAAATATGGAAAAAAAAAGAATTAATTATGGAAAGTTTATAAGTGTTCCCAAGGAAGTATGATATTTAACTGAAAAGAAATGTTAAAGAAGTTAAGATTTTAATGAATATTAACGATAGAACTGAATTGGAATGGAATGAGTGCTTTATTTACATATGCATATAATCTTTTTTTAAGAATAGTGTATTTTAAGAATGTACCAAGCAGAATTTGATTAGAAGTTATATATTATATTGAATGTTATAATCTTAAAGGTATACATTGAAGCTTAATTAAGAGTTGAATGGATAAAATTAAAAGATATAAAGGTGTCATACTCCAATTAGTAACTACAGGGGAAAATTTGTTTAATGAGAAAAGATAATATGAAATTGCAACAGGACAGACAAAAGTACAAATATAATGATTTGAATTGAGATGAGATAATCAAAATAAAATTGAGAAAATTAAAAGAGGGGAAAAACTGTAGAAAATGTAAAACAGTAATAAGATATGGAATAGAACACAAAAAGGAGCATGAAATTGAGTTTGTTTCTGTATGAAGAAGTGATAACCCGGGACCATACTATTTTCAAAAATATGTTTTATTTGTATTATGTTTGTTTTTTTGTGAAAACCCAAATGAAATTTTCAAAAACCAAAAAAACCCCAAAACAAATAATTCCCTCAACACTGTCCATCTATTTACAAAGTCTGCATGACTGTTACTATTACTCCTCCCGTCCTTCGTTTCACCCATCTCCTCCCACTTATGACTGTATGACTGTAACTTTGTCACTTGTATCCTTACAATTTATATGGACTGTTTCCTAGTATGATTTGATTGCTTATTGTACCCTATGACTATTATTGTGTTGTACCTTATGATTCTTGACTAATGTATCTTTTCTTTTATGGATACAGAGAGCATTTGCACCAAGACAAATTTATTGTATGTCCAATCACATTTGACCAATAAAGAATTCTCTCTCTCTCTCTCTCTCTCTCTCTCTCTCTCTCTCTTTCTTTTCTATCTATCTATCTATCTATCTATCTATCTATCTATCTATCTATCTATCTATCTATCTATCATCTATCTATCTATCTATTCTATCAGCAGTCATTTGAACTTTTGAAGCTAGGATATGATTGCCCTATTCATATATTCACATGGGACCATAAACAATGATCAGTTGCTTCTGGTGATTGCCAGCCAGACAGGACAGGTTCCTGGAAATAGGGTAGCTTCCTGTTTGGATGTGTGAGCACAGGAACATTCCCTCGAAAGTAGCACTGCCATGGCAATTAATTCTAGGATACCTGGTGATCCTATTTCAGAAAAATACAGTGAAGCCAAGGAAGAATCCATAATATTAAGGACAAAACCATGCTGAGAGGTGCAAAGCAGATGTTTCCAAATCTATCTGCTGTAGTCATTAAAGAAGCTGCCATTTACATATGCTCTTAATTCTTAATAGCCTCAGGGAGAAATAAGACAGCTGCTTACAGGAGAACAGCTGGCTGCTTGCTTATCACGCTGTTGTCCATAACCAAACTATATGATATCAACCTCAAAATATAGCAAAGTTTCACTGTGATCAAACGTCAAGCCAAGATCATGACCCTTAATAAAAACTAAAGAAAAAGCTCACAATTTGTATTACTAAGAGTTTTTCAAGTTGCAGTACAATTTTCAAATTATTTGGATTTTGTAATTGGCTACTAGTAAGTGAGTATCTGTTCCCAGTTTACAGATAGATTAAGGAGAGATGAATCAAGGAATATGTTAGTCAGTTGTGGTTTGCAGATCAAAGCCTAATTTGAAATTCAGATGTTTAACTTATCAGTTTAAGGAACCATAATTATTTCAGGAAGCTGAGATAGGAAAATTGAGGTACCAAGATCTTGGGCAGTTCTCTAAACCCTTCTTTTGGCGGGTGAAAGTCTATATGTCTGGAGGCCTATGTGTATATGATGTGTCTGCAGAGATGCTACCTCACTATTTTGAGATGTGAATTCTACAAAACTGCTAGATAGGATCTAAAATAAGGACAGAGCATTTGTACGCTGTCCATCTGGATTTTATATTAAACAATCATTTATACTTGTTAATGTCAGAATATAAAGCTTCTTTTGTAACCTATAACCTTGCAATGGAAAACTCTGAATGGCAGTTCCATTTTCAGGACTATATTGTAATTAACATTACATGGTATTTCGGGGAAATGATTTAAAGCCTGTAAACACAGAGAGAATATGCTTATTCTCTGCACTATCTCAATCGTACTTCATCTTTCTCTGCAAGGAAACAGGTAAAATCTGTACTTCCTCTCTTGCCCTGTCAAAGATACACCCTAGCCAGCAAATTCCTTCCAGATATTGTCACTGAAATATAGTTGATTAAAAAAAACAACCACCAACCTGAGATAGTCTTCAATTA